GGTTTGGGTTTGTAAATTCATTTTGATGAACTTCACCCCTCCAACTTTTAATTTCTTCAATTGAATCCCTTCTTTCTTCTTCTTGAATTTCCCCTTTTTGCACTTGAAAGAAAAATAAAGATGTATTAGTTAAAGAAAAGAGAGATTGTCATATTTTCTTTTTTTTTTTGATTTTTTAATTAATTTTTGTGATTAATATATATATATATATATATTTTTTTAATATATGAAAAATTTAAATAAGCTGAATGAAAAATCGGGTTATGACAGTTGCCCCCTCTTTACTTTTCTTTCGTTAGAAAAGAAAAGTAAAGATAAAAGAATAACCCGATTTTAACTAAACCATGGAGAAAAAGATAAAATAAGGAGAGATCTGACCTGTAAGCTTGATTTTTGAGCAATTGGAAATAAAAGAAAGAAATGATAATATGAAATGTAGAGAAATGTAATGTCAAGTAGATGAAAATGAAAAAGAGCCGCTTGTTGGGTAAGTATGAAATGAAAAGCCGCATGTTGGGCAAATGAGATGCAAAGATGGTGTTGGGCAGTATGAAATGTTAGCCGCATGTTGGGCTGAATGAGATGCTATGCCGCATGTTGGGCATAATGAAATGCAAAGCCGCATGTTGGGCTGATTGAAATGAGCCGCGTGTTGGACTGAATGAAATGAGCCGCATGTTGAGCTGAATGAAATGAGCCACGTGTTGGGTTGAATGAAATGAGCCACGTGTTGGGCTGAATGAAATGAGCCGCATGTTAGGCTGAATGATATGAACCGCGTGTTGGGCTGAATGATATGCTAGCCACATGTTGGGCTAAATGCAATGCCGCATGTTGTGCATAAATGAAATGCTAGCCGTGTGTTGGGCTAAATGAAATGAGCCGCATGTTGGGCTGAATGATATGCTAGCCGCATGTTGGGCTAAATGCCATGAGCCACGTGTTGGGCTAAATGAAATGAGCCGCATGTTGGGCCGATGAAATGCAAAGCCACGTGTTAGGCTGAATGATATGAGCCGCATGTTGGGCTGAATGATATGCTAGCCGCATATTGGGCTAAATGCAATGCCGCATGTTGGGCATAAATGAAATGCTAGCCGCGTGTTGGGCTGAATGATATGAGCCGCGTGTTGGGCTGAATGAAATGAGCTGAGTGTTGGGCTGAATGAAATGAGCCGCGTGTTGGGCTGAATGATATGAGCCGCTTGTTGGGCTGAATGATATGAGCCGCTTGTTGGGCTGAATGATATGAGCCGC